CCTGCGGCCTACTTCCCTCCCCCCCCCCACCATCACTTCAAGAGGAGACTGGGCCTCCCCTCTGGGTGCAAGAAACACCATGTGCCAAAACCGGAGAGGACTTCCCACTGCCCCGTAGACTGCGAAACCTCTGGTGAACTTCCCCCTGTCCGGGGACCCGTAAATTCTCCACGTTGCCCCGCCGGCCAAGATGAAGAAGGTGGCGGCATGGTTGGCAGAGGACGTCTATGACTGGCTGATCAAAGAGGGGATGCCAGAGTACATCGACGCCCTCCGGCAGACGGACGGCCCCGCTCTGCTCAGGCTCAACGAGGTGCACTTCCAGATGCCCCCCATCTCGCTGGTGTCGTCCGACGGCGGGCAGCAGCTGCTGGAGCGACTGGAGACGCTGCGGATAGAGAATCACATCGAGGCTCACAAAAACGGCCACGCAAACGGACATGCCGGCGGGCTGCCTAACGGGACTAGCAAGCCTCAGAGGAACGGCACGATGGGGATGGAGATGGTCCACATCCCCATCCCCACGGTAGAAACTATGCGCACCTCCTTCCCCATCGAGTGGGGGAAGACGGGCATAGCGTTCTTCTACGCGGTGGTGTGCTTTGTGGCCACCACGGTCGTCATTTCGGTGGTTCATGAGAGGGTACCGGCGAAGGAGCACACCCCGCCGCTACCCGATAAGTTCTTCGACCTGTTTGACCGGGTGGAGTGGGCCTTCTCCATTTGTGAGATTAACGGCATGCTGCTGGTGGGACTGTGGCTGATACAGTGGATTCTACTCAAGCACAGGTACACTCTACATATTATTTTAAATTTTTTTTCTTGAAATGGTCAAGTTATTAATTTTCTTCGTCTGTTTGTCCCAGGTCTATTATAGGCAGGCGATTCTTTTTCATTGTGGGCACACTCTATCTGTACCGGTGTATTACAATGTACATCACCACTCTGCCTGTTCCGGGGATGCACTTCAAATGCTCTCCAAAGGTATTACACACACACACTCACACACTTATTTCTAATGTAGGTCTGTTGAGCATGAAAGGCTTCTTTCCTACTTACGCTTTAGGCAAAAACGTGCTGAATGGGCAAATTCAGCAAAAACTGAGATGTCTTTTGTAAGCTGAGAGCCTGTGAGTGCTCTCCACTAACAACCGATTGTAAGATACAGTATATGCATGTCCACTGTTTTTGTGAGTCAGAGGAGTTCGAGTGGTTGCTTCACTTTTTTGAATAGGTCCTGTTATTGTAATATTGCAAATGCTCTACTAGAAAGCACTTTCATATCCTGTTATTTAAATCCACCGTGTGTTCATGTTGTGAAATCTTGTGGTTTTGTTCATAAAACAATCCCTGTGAGAGTAGATTAGAAAACCAATACAGTCTGTGTCGTCTTTGCATCTCTTAGCTTTTAGTGTAACAATGTGTGGCCTCTTCTACACCCGTCCACAGTACTGTATTTGGACTTTCTGCTACTTTTCATTTAAATAAACGAATACTTATATTTTAAAGAAAATATAATGGGACAATCTTCTTTTTTTTTGTGCCACTAAATGTTATCGAATAGGTTAATAGTTATTCTACAGATGATATCACAAGAAATGCTGCTACTACAACTGTACAGTAGGTGTTGCTTCTTCTCACTGTACTTTTGATACTTCAACTACATCTCACTTCCAATACATTTGTCCTTTACTCTACAAACTTTGAATGCAGGAATTTACCGTGTAAAGTATTTTTCACTGTATTTCAATATCTTCTTATGTAAAGCATCAGGATACCAGATAGCTCTGAAATGGGATTTTCTCCCCCCCCCCCCCGCAGCAGTTGTAAGTGCTGCTGCACTTTCTCCTCTACATCCTACTTTTACACATCATATCAGCAGCTATGAGTGATATATCAGTTTGTAATACCTTTGTAATAACTGGCTGCGTTTCTTTCAGCTTCTCGGGAACTGGGAGGTGCAGATGAGGAGAATAATGAAGATGATTGCTGGTGGGGGCCTCTCCATCACAGGTTCCCACACCATGTGTGGAGATTATCTGTACAGTGGCCACACCGTCATGTTAACGCTAACGTACCTCTTCATCAAGGAGTGTAAGTTCCACGGTGTCTAGACTATAGGTTTAGTGAGAATGTACACAAAGGTTTTTGCTTTAAAGCCACATGTGGCGCTTGTTTTAACCTCCTCAAAGTCTGTTTTTATATTTACAAATGTGCAGCAGATCATTTTGACGACCACAGCTGCCATAAACTAGTGCACTCTTCTTCAGTAGGTCAGTTGAGATGTCAAAAGAATGATGTACTATTCAGAGATATAAGAGTAATAAGCAGGTCGGCACTTACAGCTATCGAGGCGGATTTATTACGACATAACGCTCAATTTCATAACTGATGTTTTAGGTTCTCACACACGCACACCACCGTCCTCGGTAACATCTGCATCTTCCCGATAAAGCCCGGTGCTGCTTTGGCTTTCGCAACACTTCTCTAAATTGTAGCAGGAAATGTTCCGCTGTTCACATGTTAGTGTTAGTGTCACCGTGTTAAGACACCGCGTTAAGACGTGGTTACATAACCACATTTTCTGTTCCTCACCAGGCATTTCCTTTATCTTAACGTAGCTGGTTTGCCCGCTCACTTGGTTCACCGCTAAGCACATGGGTCAGAAGTCAGATGCATCTTAACTGCTTCTGGGTCAAGTTGTAGACATTGGTACATTTCTAAGGCTTTGAGTTATTAACTCTGCTACATCACATTACTACTGCAAAGCTTTTCCACCACAGCAGTGACATCTAGTGGTAAAAAGAAGAAACGTTTGGTTCATATTTCCTCAGCCACAGTTTGAATGTCTGAGGCCAAACACAATGTATTTGCACCAGCCCCAATGCCCCGTTTAGCTGTTCTTCTCGAGTTGATGCTGCTGGGTTCCTCCTGCGTCTCTCCTGTATTGAACCCTGCATGTTTTTCATGTTTGATTGGCAGATTCCCCAAAGCGGTTCTGGTGGTACCACTGGTTTTGCTGGAGCTTGAGCGCTGTGGGGATTTTCTGCATCCTTCTGGCCCATGACCACTACACTGTGGATGTGGTGGTTGCATACTTTATCACTACACGCCTCTTTTGGTGGTACCACACTATGGCCAACCAGCAGGTGAGTGCAACATGTGACATTAAAGTAGAGGGTTTATTAAGTGGAACCTGTATTTCAGTACCGAGGTTACATGGAGTATGTACACAGAGAGGGGTGTCCAGGTGGGAAAACATGTCATGTGACTTCCGGTGTTGTCGTCAGCTGCTTGCAGAGGCCTCGCCATGTACAGTCGTATAGCTTGTTAATCAGACACATTTTCTTTTGTTGGCTTTGAAGTTGAAAAATAACTTAGTTTAAAATCTATACATAGTCTGGCACATATCATCCTGTTGTTTTTACACTTCTGCTTTTGTATTAAACAATCGAGGTATGACCTGGATTTTTGGACAAAGCGAGGCTGTTTTGAATCTTTTCTTCTAGCGTCATCGAACTGACTTCTGGCCGTTGCTTCATATTTAACGCACAGAAGACAGTGGTATCAGTCTCCTCATCTGAGAGAGAAATGGATATTTCCAAAAAATACCCAACTATTCCTAAGATTTGTGCATTAATGTGAAGAAGAACCTGATGTTTATTTGGCTAATTCAGCTAATTTAATACCTGAAACTCATTTTTGTCTGGTTATTTTAGCTATGAAATGTTTCTCAAGTACAACATTGTATTCTGTCCGTGTACGTGACCCCACTTACACTATTTGTGTCTTTTTTTAATTTTTATTTCAGTCGCTGAAGGAGACGTCTCAGAGCAACTTGTTCTCTCGTGTGTGGTGGTACAGACTATTCCAGTACTTCGAGGAGAACGTCAGCGGCACGGTGCCTCGCAACTATCAGGCGCCGTTGTCATTGCGATCGCTGCAGTGGAGCCGCGGCGTGAAGTACAGCAAACTGGACACCCAGTGATCCCTGTCCTGTTGAAGCAAGCGAGGACTATGACTTCCATAAGTGCTGTTTTTACCCGATGGAAGACGGCACTGACAAACGTAGCGCTGACCTTTCACCTCCAGTAACAGACACATCCCTGTCCTCATGGGTAGCACTGTGACCCACCCGGCTCCTCTTTTAGTTTCTTTAGTTGTTCTTCTTTCTCTTCTGGTAGTATTGCCACCACAGAGCACTAATTTATATTTGTTTTGTGTGATTTGTTTGTTTTTTCCTCGTCGTGGGCCACACACCGGTTTATGAAGCATTTCGACAAACTTCTCAAAGATTTTTTTGGGCCACAAGGACTCTAAACTTTTCCCCTTTCTGCACAAAACCGTAGTTAACGTCCTCGTGTTCTTACAAAATAGTGTCGATCATTTGATAACCAAAATGCCATTAGCATTTTTCTTTTCTTTTTTTTTTTATAGCAAATTACTTTTTGTAAACTGTCCTTGCTAAAATGAGTCAACGGTGCAAAAAAATATTTTTTTTTAGTATGTCAAACTTTATTTTTCAAAAAGAAATGATGTCCAACAAAAGATTTTTAGATTTTTACCTTTTTCAAGATGGATAACAGAGCATAAGAATCTAATGTGGTATAACGTACTTCCAGTGCCTTTCTAGCTTGATTGTAAAACAGTTCAAGTACTCCGTGTCTTGTGTCTCCGTGCTGCGGCACGAGGTGGTACTTCGCTAACAGTCTCGTTCCCATGAATGTAAAAACAACTACGCCAGCCTTACCACAAGATTGGTTTTCACACAAATTAAGTGCAGTGAGTGAAATGTCCTGTTTATTTATTGATGCTTTATGATGTCAGTTTGTGCTTCGTTGGATAATGCGGTTCCAGCAAAAGAAAAAAAAAAAAAAAAAGACTGTTAATTGTATTTTTCTTTTTGTCTGTAACATTAGATTTTTTTACCAATCAGTCTTTAACCAACACCAGCCATGTTCAAAGCCTGATCATTGATGCTAAATTGTCTGTTAGTTTTACTTTTCCACAACTACATTATTTGCAAAACATCACTTCCTGATTGGAAATAGGAGACGACGTGTCTCTGAGGTGCCGAGTTTAGTTATACTGGACCTTTTGACATGTCTGTGCATCGTCATCATCAGTGTCTCCTCTCTTGTTCCCCACATTGAGTCCCATTTTGACACCAGATTCATCCTCATTACTGTCTGGTCTTGTAACCTTTGTGGGGGTGATGAGATCTAGAGGAAAATGTTCAACGTCAACACTGGTGTTAGGGAATCTTAGAGTATAAAGTTTCTGAGCATGTCTGTAATGAATCTGTGTGAGTACTTTGTGTGGTTTGTCACGCACTAAATCGAGCTGCTACCTTCCAGTTTAAAAACTAGAAGCAGCAAACACTCGACATGGAACTTGTGTGTTTGTGGGGAAGAAGCTGAAGCATGATGCACAGAGCTGGTGATGTATTTGACCGTGTGTGTGTGTGTGTGTGTGTGTGTGTGCAGGATGACATTGATTTCCATTAATGTGAAAAAGTGTCTTTATTGATAATCCTAATCATGTACATGTTGGCTTTTTTTTTTTTTTGTATAACTATGAACTGTAAAGAATACATGTTGCACAAGTTCATCCGTAGGGAAAGATTTAACGTTTTGTAAAACTTTAATTTCAAGTTAAACTGATAAGCTTTGATAAAGAGAAACTGCACTAAGCTTTAGATTATACAAATCCCAAATAAATATTAAGGATGATGTGATTTAATTTCTTTAAACTGTATCTAAAGAAGGTGGTGAGAAAATAGCATTACTTCCAATTGACTAAGCCGATACCTTTTCAATGCCGACAAGAGTCTTGTTTGAGACAAATGTCCCGTAGCGTTGTCCAATCATTTCACTTAAAGAACGGTTTCTCAGTTTTTAAAAGCACAGCAGGTTCCTCACATTCAGACATTTTTTGATTTGAAGTAACAGTCCAAACACGGCTCTCTATTAATGTCTTAAGGGTCTGGTAAGGATGAAAGTTGGAGTTAATGTTTATCTTCTTGTTTGCCAATCAAGTTGGATTTATTTTTTCAGCGTTTGTTATCCTCGTATGTTCCTCTGTAAACTTCTCAACAGCGTTGTCCCAGTTTGTGTGTATCCCAGATATTTGTAAGATAAAGGATTGTACTTGGGACGCTTTTGAATAAAACCTTTTACTAAAATGTATTTTATTTACTGTCCCGTGTCTTTTCTTTTTAAGTTTATCACGATCTGTTTTTCATGCAGCAGGTCGCGTTCTCGTGGCAACTCATTGTGCCAAAAGATGACGTCATGGCAGACCCACTAACGGCCAGCAGATGGTCATATTGAGTTGCATAAATAAGACGGGGTGGCCTCTCCTTCCTAAATGTGTTTATGCGTCCTGTTTGTGTTTACGTGTCTCACATAGTTCCCTTTTCCATTAATGTAGCTCTTTCTGGGCCTCATGTTATCCCTTTAAACACGTTATGCTGATGTTTCAAACTGTAGTCTTGTACCCTCTCCTCTCATCCACCCAGGTGTTTTAAAGTCTGCTGAGGTTTTCAAATACAAACACACGCTTACGCTTTCCAGTCCCTCGCAGCGACTGTTACATCTTTATAGTAATAACTTAAAGTGCCTGAAAATGTGGTTTAAAGTTTTTAACAATGAATAGTCATCACTTAAAGCTTGGGAAGATACATTGTCAAGCAGGTTTTCTGGGCCTTTAAGACAGCCATGTTAATGTACTCTTTGAAGTCTAAAGTCAACATGTCCAAAAAGTTTATCTTGCCAATTATCAAATGACTGATCCGTGCTGGTTGCTGTGGAATCTCGCCACAGCAGCCCCTGGGGATACGAGTGATCCAAACGAAAGCTAATTATATCACGACCTCAGGTGCTGCTGAACTGCAGCAAAGGGGGTTTGATGAGTTTTCTCCAGTTGCCTGCTAAAAAGAGCAAGAGGTTCCCTCATAATTCCTTGCATGAAAAAGGATCATCTGTGAGTCTCGAGCTGGCTCCTGGGCCCGCTGGGGAATTTGCTGGCACCCTGGAGAGACTGTTCTGACCAGCCAAGCCCAAAACTCCCACACAGCTGACTTCAATAAATAGGCCAGAGTGATGCTCTAAAGATAGCAGCTTAATGTGGCTGAACATATTTTTAAATATGCAGGTATGCGGTCTGCACTGTGGACAGAAAACAGACCGTTCTTAATTACTGCCAGCTTGCTTTGGATTTTAAAATGCGGGGTGTAAAAATGAACTGTGTGTCTCAGCTCGTCGAGGTTTTTTTCACATATTCTGCATTTTACAGCATGAATAATGCGCCTTACCATGTTGCTCTGGTGTTGTCCACTCTGCAGCTGCCTGTTTTCCAATTTTCCAATATGGCCACCCTCTACGCTCCGCTCCGTCGTCCATCAATCGCTTTTCCACATTTCTACTGCCTGTGCCTCAATATATGAAAATACAAACTTTATCTTTTCACACTTACACCCCTGCATCATACCCTCCCTTAAGGCCGTGAAGCCAAGAGAAACAGCAGTCTGATTCATGGGTTCCCAATGGGAACACATGTGAACACAAACAAAGTCTATTCTATTCTCAGCAGTGCTGCGGTCGTTCATCGTGATACCATACTTAGCCCGTGAAGATAATGTTGTTGGAGTGGAGTTTTGCCTATTAATGGTTGAACCCGGAAAGTGGGTGGTTTGAGAGAGAGAGAGGATTGGGCTAATAAAACTGCCATGGTGTATGCAATCATGTTCAAGAACATAAAGCCTGTTGATTGTTCGATGTCTCGTGAAGATTAAGAAGTTTCCAGTTTGAACATTAATGCCTCCACACGCCTCTCTGCGTTTGCGATCACTAATCTAGTGCTGTGGAGTGTTTTTAAGCAGCGTGTGAATGAGAGTACATATCCTCCTCTGATTGACATCTATAATAGTTGATCAAGTCACAATAGGCCTTAATACTGCATCATTTTTAAAGTCGTTATTGTTAGCAAACAAGCTTAGTTACACATCCTGCAGTAAGACTCCAAAACAGTGAAACAGTTAAACAATGAGCTGAAACTCACTATGAAGCTCCGTAAAGATAAGCTGCAGATTCAGGTGATGATTCACATTGTCATTTGACACAATGTTATGATAAAATATTGATTGTAGTCAATATACGGCAAGGGTTGGCAATGTTTTTTCAAACCTTTGTTATATTTGTTGAAATTCTCATTACATCTCGCTGGTTTTTCCATTGTTGCTGACCCCAAGCTTAATAATCTCTGTGCTGTTTTGGTTCACTTTGCTGCAAGCACGGATTTGAAGGACTGCAAAAAAAAGACTAAACTATCAGCACTCAAAAACAACAAGATGCGTTTTTATATCCATTTTATTGCCAACAACTTTTGACACGCCGCATGGTCAAGAGAGAAACAAACACGATCAACAGCAGGCTTTCCTCTCAAGAGACTTGATATGATCGAAGCACTCCAGACCCAGAACCAATGAGGCTGTTGCTGCTGAAGACAGTTGTAATGATGATAGTTATTTTCATCACACACACCATTATCAGTGAGATGTAATGCCACCCTCTCCACCATCAGGGCCCCACACACAATTTTAAGAGACCATGAAATGACCCCCCCCTCAGAGCTTGTTAATCTCGCCCGCTCTGTCAGTTGGGCCAACTCTCCCTCCAGCCTCTGACCACTTGAAATTGCACTGCAGTTTCCATCTACCACTCGAGAGGTGACTCAGTAACCGGCCTAACAGCCAATATGACAAGGTGATTGTCAGTGGTGGAGGTTACCCTCGGACATGCTGTGCTCTAAGAGAGTCTGAGAAACTCCAGCTCAGACTAAGTCGGGTCACGGCTTGTGACATTGCTTCCTCTCCCTTCTCTAAATCTCACAGGTTTTGGAGCAGGTTCCCGTCCGAGGGAGAGCGACATACTGAGTGATGTAACGAGTCAAGAGTCATCTCACGCCAACTGAGGGGACTCTCTGGAAACAGTTTCTGTGACATCTGTCCACAGTCCTCGCCACCAGCGCTGGCACAGCAGACCGATATGCAGATATGGACGTCCTCGGTATTCTCACCGCTATACCTGTGAGGACGATTTTTAATGCATCATCCTTCAAGAGACACTCTGATCTCTGGCTACCGAGTGGTTTATTTCTGTTGATGGATTTTGGAAACGGGCCATGTTCGGATGAGCAGATGGCAGCCTGATTATTGTCAGATCCTTGTTGTCAAAGTGTAATTTAGATAGAGACCACACCGCTCCTGAGCTGTGGCTCTATGGGCATTTATTGATCACTGTAATGTGGATTTAGTTTCTCCTCTTATTTGAATATGTGTACTAGTATGTGCCTTTCTTTTAACACCAGGTTGAAAAGCAGTGTTTGACTGGGTGCGGTCAGAAGAATGTCCTTTGTTACACCTGTAACCACACCTAACAGTGATGTCACAGGGTCCTGGGGGATGAAAGTGGTGAGAATGAACCAAAATTGTAAAGTTGCGGGCCATAAAACCAAAACAACCATCTCAAAGATGCTAAAAAGCTCTGTAGATCTGAGGGGGACTACAAATCTGGGTTCATCAAGTGACCCTTTTCACACTAGACATAGTCAAAATATTGTATCTTTGTATTCTCATTAAATATGATTATATTAGAGCAGATTTAATGTAGTGAATATAAGAATATCAATACATATTTGTGATTTATTGCTGGCTATTGGTAGACAGAACCTCTCTTGATATTTGAATTTGATATTGATACGAAGGCTTCATTGGTCGTTGCTCCTGGCATCCACAGCAGCATTGTGTTCTCTGGCTCTCTTGGCTCTCAAGGCATTGTGGGAAACTATTGGCTTGCTTCTTGCTGGTCATTGGACAATATCACAACTTCCTGTAAAAGCCCACAATGAAAAATCCAGACCTGATAGGGCGTTGAAAGGCCCGTGCAGTAAAATCAATAGAGAATGATTTTGAAGTACGGCAGCCGACTGCAACGTTGACTGAAAGCCACAAGCCTCCATCCTCCTATTTTGTCTTCCTTTGATTGTTCTCAGTGTGTTGCTGAGTAGCTCTGATGAGGATTCTTGTATTCTAGTGCTCTGTATCAAGCCCCGCTGTCACCGACTGCTACACACGTGGATTATTTTCTATTATTTTCTAAGTCATGGTGACTTGTTAGCTCCGGGATGGCATTTGGAAAGAAGAACAAAGATTTGATCAGCAGGTGGGGAAACAGGGGAAGTGTCAGCGATAAATTCAGACTATATAAAGTCGTATGTAACACTTATACGTGTTACTTCAGTCAGTCACAGCATGACTGGAGAGAAAATACGGACCATATACAGGGAGTGATGAGGCTGTTAAAGCCAGAGAGCAAAAGTGTCCCTGAGGAATATACCGGAGCACTATAGAGGTGCTCCAGTATATGATCTGTAGTTCAGTAGAGCTGAAGAGATCTCAACCCATCAAACAATCTTCTAGGCCACTGTTAATTTGAACGACTTACTCTGAATCAGTAATCTTTGATATTCAAAAGAGACTCTGTTCTGATGTTCTGTAGCTGCTCCATTCAGGTCTTTTTTTAAAACTCAAAAGTAGAGCCTGTAAACGCAGGTTCAGCCGCTGTCTCATCTTTATTGTAATTTAAAAAAAGCTGATTTATGTACCTGATCCTCTTAAGTCCACTCTGTGAAGTAGTCGTACTTTCTTTGGCCGTAGGAGACCTTTCGCTCTGCGATGACAAATTTAAAATGGAGGACAGGTTTGTGTGACAAATAACCCGACTAGAGATCAGATAAAAATGAAATATATATACGTCTGACATGGCCTCAGAAGCAATGGTGCTAGAAAATAGAGAAAAAACTGCAGCTGCAATCTAAATCTATGCGGGTGAAGAGTGACACTGTTTGTCTTGATGAGCATGCACAAGGTGAATGGTTTTTCCATCATGAAGGCCTGCATGGCTGATTTACTGCAGCACACGCAAATGAAGAGCGATCAGGCCTGGAACATGAAGACGAGGAGTGTTTAATAGCTGACTTTTTACCAGATACCTCCGAGTGCTCTTTCGGGCTGAGTCATCCACCAGTTTGTTTTTTTTCCGCAGCAATACAGTAATGTGTGCTCATCCAGAAAACTATGGTCAGATTTTTTTACTGTACGCTGTTACGCAACATAGGCACAGATTCA